AACCCTTGGACAAGTCACTGAGCCTCAGTTTCCTCCTTTGTAAAATGTGGATAGTAATATCTGTCTTGCCTCACAGGGCAGCTGTGAGGAAAGCCTACTTGGTGTAGGTGCCAAGGGAGAGAATTCCGGATTGGTGGTGTTCAGTTCAAACCCTTGCCTTCTGTTTCCTACTTGCATTATTTACCTCCCCAGGGAATTAGGATCTGACCTGGAAGGGACCTCAAAAGCCATCTGGTCCAACCCTGTCATTTTACAGATGAGGAAACTGAGGCAAACAGGTTAAGTGACTTGCCCAAGGACACCTTGGTAGTAAAGGTGTCAGAGGTAGCATCTGAGCCCAGGGCTCTGACTCCAGATCCAGGGCCCATTTCCATCATACCAACCTTGCCTCTCGTGTTATGGAGTGCTAAAATTCTGAATGAAGCCTTTTCTAGGCCTCCTTAATCAGAGTGCCTTTCTTCTGAGACCACTCCTGATCCATCCTATCTATTATCTCATTTGTACATAATTGTTTGCACATGTCTCCCCCATTAGGGACCTCATTAGACTTTGAACTCGTTTCTTTTACCTGTCTTTGTATTCTTAGCACAGTGCCTGACATATAGTATGTGATTAATAAATTCAAGTTGATTGGTTGATATTGGGCCATTCTAAGATGCAGAGTCCCAGATTCCTAGTCCCTAGACAACATCTGATCTCTCCATCTCTCCTCTTGTCTCTCTTCCATCTCCAGGTTACCAAGTGACCGTGCTGGTGAGGGATCCCTCCAAGCTACCCTCTGATGGTCCCCAGCCAGCCCGGGTGGTGGTGGGCGATGTCCTGAAAGCAGCCAACGTGAATGAGACTGTGGCAGGGCAGGATGCTGTCGTTATATTGCTGGGCACCGGCAGTGACCTGAGTACTGAACCTCCCCTGTGTCCCCGGCCTGTCCCTGTGCCCTGGCCCCCTCAGCCACAACCACCCCCACCACCTCCACCACCTCCACCGCTCCCACTGCCTCCACCCCCTCCAACCAGTGACCATCACTCTCTATCCTCCCCTCCAAGGTCCCACCACCGTGATGTCAGAGGGCACCCGGAACATTGTGGCCGCCATGAAGGCCCATGGCGTGGACAAGGTCGTGGCCTGCACCTCGGGTGGGTGGAGTGGGGATCTTGAGCCTTACCTAGGCATTAACCCCAGCCTGGAAACCTGGTCCAGCCTGGGACCTTAGCTAGCACAGGGAAGGATGGGGGGTGGGGGAAGGATTGGAAAAGGTGGGGATCTGAGAAAGGTCATGAGAGGCCTCCTCAAATCTGGACTGAGGCAGGCCACAGGAAAGCAGCCAACTTGGAGAGCAGTCTGAAGACAATGCCAGGTGACTGAACTGGGGATATTTAGCTGAAATAGAAGACTTAGGACATGGAACTATCTTCCAGGATTGGCTAGGCCTAGAGTCAGGAAGACTTCAGACACTTCCTAGTTGTGTGACCTTGGGCAAGCTGCTTAACCTGTTTGCCTCAGTATCCTCATCTGTAAAATGAAGATAATAGTACTGACCTCCCAGGGTTGTCATGAGGATCAAATGAGATATTTGTAAAGTGCTTAGCACAGTGCTTGGCACATAGTGTTATATAAAAATGTTAGCTATAATTAGTATTATTATTTTATGAAAGAGGGATTAGACTTATTCTGTTTGCCTCTAGAGAGGAAAATTAGTAGCCTCGGGTAGGAGAAGCTTCAGGGAGGCAGATGCTTACTCAACATCAGAACAAACAAACAAGCTAAAATTTCCTAATGAAGACACGGACAAAACCCAAACAGTATGAGAAAGTGTGGAAGGGTTATGTTCTGCTCTAGTGGACACAACACACGCTCATCAAAATCCCAGATGAATTTACATGTAACCTATTGAGATGGAACACAAACTTGAACTAAATTATTTAGGTATTAAGACAGCAAAGTCTTCTTGTATTAAAATTAAAAACTGCTAAAAAAAAGAGAGAGAGAGAGAGAGAGAGATTTATTAATGGGGAGGTGAGGGGAGAGACTTCCTAATGATGAGAGCTGTCCAGAAGTGAAATGCACTATCTCAAGAGGGAATGGAAAAAAAAAAAAAGAAAGAGGGAATGAGTTTCCTGTCACCAGAAGTCTTTAACAGATGATGTATGACTACTCCGCAGGGTACTGGGCCAGGGTTACCTACTCCGTTCTGTAACGCTGTTCCCTTCTTGCTCTCTCTGCAGCTTTCCTCCTGTGGGACCCAGCTAAGGTCCCTGCCCGGCTCCAGGCAGTGACCGATGACCACATCCGGATGCATAAACTGCTGTTGGAGTCGGGTCTGCATTATGTGGCTGTGATGCCCCCACACATTGGTTTGTGGTTTCGGGAGGGCGGGCCCTGGGCTCTTCCTTGTTCATACCTACTTAAGGATGTCCCTTGGGTGAAAAAAAAATTCGTACACTCATCCGCTGACCTCTGAGGTCCCTTCCAACTCTGGGATTCTGTGGTTTGGTTCATGCCCTGGCTCTGCCCCGAGTCAGCTGTGTGACCTTGGGGCTTTAAGTTTCCCCAACTGTAAAGGGAGATTGTCTGAGATGATTCTGAGTCTATGAACCTAAGCTCTGGTCTCCAGGACATGCCTTCATTCAGAACCCAGGGAATATCTATCCCCCTTTCTCGACAGGACAGAAAGGGTAAGTTGAGCCTCAAGATGCTTTCTCTTCCTCTTCCCACTGCAGCTGAGGACCAGCCACTGACAGGGGCCTACAATGTGACTGTGGATGGACGGGGTCCCTTCAGAGTGATCTCCAAACATGACCTGGGACACCTCATGCTTCGATGCCTCACCACAACCGAGTACGATGGGCATAGTATCTACCCTTCCCATCAGTATAGCTGAACGTGGCATCCATACCGTGAGCCCAGCCCCCACCTAGCTGGACCATGGGAGAGAAGGAGCAGTGCTTGGTCCTGTCCTTTGGAAGGAGGGATGGCCCATTGCTGAGTGGGGCCAGGAGAGGAAAGCAGCAAACAGAATAATAAAAGATCATGTAATACCAAGCACTGAGTGATATGGCATCCTGGACTGCCCTACCTTCCTTCTCTGTGTGTATGTATGTCTCTGTCTCTGTGTCTGTCTCTCTCTCCTTCCTTCTTTCTGTCTCTTTCTCTCCCTCTTTGTCCATGTAGCACCTCTCTGGTTTATTTATAATACTTGTTCTGGAGGGTTGGGTTTTCAGAGGGGCAGCTGCTACCTCAGGTTCTAGGGGGTAACCCTGTGGGTCTTCACTCCTAACATTATAACTCACAAGCCCCCAGTGACCATCTGTAGGTTTAATTAGCCTGTTTAAAAGGTATTGATAGGGGGCAGCTAGGTGGCATGGTGGACAGAGCACTGGCCCTGGATTCAAGAGGACCTGAGTTCAAATCCAGCCTCAGACACATAACACTTACTAGCTGTGTGACCCTGGGCAAGTCACTTAACCCCATTGCCTATCCTCAAGGAAAAAAAAAAAGGTATTGATGAAGACATCATGGTAAGAACAGTAAGCATATAACATTTCCCCTCTAAGCTTGGGATTGGCTCTCCCACAAATACACATACAGTGTATGGGAAGAGTAAGCTCAAATTTCAGTCTGCAAGATTGTCCGTGTGGCAGACAACACACAACTCCTAGTCCTGAAAGGCATGGGAGTCCTCACATCCCAAATACCTAGGTTGTGATCCTCTTCCATTGCCAGGGCCAGGGCCTTGAAGCTGGCTTTGTTTCCACAAGGAATGGTTTCTCTGTATCCACCTCTGCCTGGAATGTGTGTCCTTGGGCCCTCGACGGTGGAGAGGGCAGACAGAAAGGGAGATAGACGGGAGTGGAGAGGAGGGAGGAGAGATAGACAGACATGGAGAGATAAAGGGAACGACAAACAAAGTGATAGACCAGGAAGTCAACACAGGGACAGAGAGATTTGACAAGGAGAGACAGAGGGAAAGAGATATAGATCCCAACAAGCGGAAATGATATAGACCAGGGTATCAGAACAGGGAGA